CGCATGACCTACAGCCGCTGCACAACGAGGCCGTCAGCTCTGCAAGGATTTCCTCTTTCAAACGTAGTATAGTAGTGGCTTTGGCAATGATAACTGATAAGTTTTTACTGCACATCGTATTCTTAATTGGATAATTACAGATCTAACTTCACGAAAAGTCTGTGAAGATGCTTAACTCTACCGCCAGAGCTAAGAATATGTTTTGTACCGCAATTGTATTATTTTAGAACCAGAAAACTCAGTGATGTGGGATTTAATCACATGTAAAACACCATTGTAATACTGACGTATTCCTAACCACGTTAGCAAAGTTTTCCACGATTTTACATGTTGTAAAGCCTTTTACGATCCTTCGTAAAGACCGCAGGATAGCGTTAGCGCTATCGGCGCTACAGCATATCAAACCAAACCCAGCTGTTTTCGCAATAGACAAAATTCAAAACCGATCCCAACATTTCCGTGACGCTCTCATTGTCTAGATAGGCTACATTTTCTAGCCACTAGTCCAACACTGAACACTGAACTTTCCATCTTCACGTCGTGGTGCGTGCGTTTCACAATGACGTGAACGCAGCGTGTAAAATATGCGTGCCGCGACTGTACACAGGTACACTCGCTGCACGTTAAAGTAGCTCATGCAGTGTTGTATTATTATATATCCTAGCGAGTGATATATTTATACTTCCCAAATACGGAGTATGGTCTGTTAGTTTTGTGCAAGTCAGTATACGCGATCGCACGTAGTGTAATCAATTCTTTACAAATACGGTATTCCACTAATTACAATTTATTATTTAGATAATTGAACACGTTTTATGAAAAATCTCTATAAAACATTTGCAATGTTAAATATATACGTCACGTCGATATTAACATGAAACAGAGTGTGTAACTTTAAAATTACTGTTTGAGATAAAGTAATAAAAGCAACAGAGTTTGAAGCTAACTGCCTTACAATTTTCCCCTCTCCCGAAAAAACGTAAATCGCCAAAGTGTGGCTTTTTCACTTGTTTAGGATTGCATACATTGAATTTAGGTCTACAGCATGTTCCCTGTATAAAATCATTGTGTATTAAATTTAAAAGCAATTCAGCATCAGGATTGAGACCCTCGCCTTTAGTAAACCCCGCGCCCCCAAAAAATCTACCACATACAAGTTTATGAATACGCAAATCCCTTTTACAACTACATAACAAACTCAAAGAATAACCTGGCCACCTTTTAAAGCTACGAGCGAGTACTCGTCATAACCATATCCTTAGTAACAACACCGTAGGATTTCCAAACAAAGATAACAGTGCGAGTACCGTAATGTTAAGTGGCACATCGGGCATTGCTCGTCATTGTTCTACCATGGTGGTGCGTGACAGCCCCCCCTCCCACCACCACCAGTGTCACATGACTAAGCGTACACTATGGCATAGGGGTCAAATTGAGCATTCACCTCAAACACCGCTTTAACCCCTTAACAAAGTAAAACACCTGCCAACAGATCCACTGAACGACTGAATAACTTAAAAAAATATTTTTTACAGCAACGTTTTAAACTGAACATGCAATAAGATTGTTCTTATTGTTGAATCAGCTGTTTCCACGCTAGGACCTTTGCGGTTTGGTCTCGTTGTGTCCACACATCAATTTAAAAAGGAAAATACGCAGACCAAACTTTAATGACTTATATAGTCTAGTTTGAAACAGTAATTGTGATAATTACGATAAAACCAACGACGTAATTGTTATTCTTACTCGACCTTGTCTTGTTGGGAAGTCCTCTAATTAAAAGTACAGTAGTCATCTTCCTCAAAAACATTTTTGAACGCATTACCATCTACGACATATTTCCAACGTAAACATCAAGCCCAATAACATACGACAACTGTGCAATTAAACAGATAAGCAAAAGAAAAACAAAAACAAAAAACTGACAATAGTCTAATTTTGTCACTGAAATAAACAAAACTGTTTAGGAATTTGTAGGAAACAAAAACATAAAACTCTTGACGTGCTCAACAATAAAACCGTAGAACAACCGTTATCTTCATCGATTTATCTCTACTACGTGCTAGTTTTGACACAACATCGAAGTAGAACGATAAATTGCGACTATTTGTAACAAAAAACAAGTGTTTAGTGTAGCTGCGATGACGCGCACCACACTGTTGTGTATGTGTTTGTGTATATTGTATACACAGTGTCAGTGCGCAGTGGTGTGGTGACAGGCAGTCTGCTAGGGCGAGCAGTACGCGCATGCGCACAGAGATAATACACTTGGTTGTTCTGTTCATATCGATGACTCGTATACACGAGCCGAGCGCGTGAAACTCTCGAGCTTGTGGCAAAACATTTTTTCAACATTTTTAAATATTTTGATTAAATTTATTTGTTTATGACGGCATAGTATTTTAGCATAACATGAGCATGTGATAACTTTTTGTTGTTGAGATTTTGCATCATTTAGGACGTTAATATACTGGCTTTTTTATTAATGGTTGAAGTTTTCTTTAAATAAGTGCTGGGATGGAATTTAAGCCTCCTAGAACCTCGTATAGTTGTCCAATAAAATTTCCTATTACCTACAATTAGATCTCTTCTTGTAGATGGTTTGGGTTTACTTTCTGTTTTAAGAAATCTTCACTACATTTAGAGATGTAAAATTTTAACTAATTCACATCATTATATAATAACAATATAATTTTAATCGAACAGTACAGAGTGCTTAGTACATAAGAACTTTGACATTTTATCTCTGCATGATTACATCAACGAAATAAGAATAAGTGATGATCATGAAATGCAAGCTACATAAAATGACTCAAAGTGCAATAAGAAAATGCATCTGTTCCCCCCTCTCATTCTCTCTCTCCTCCCCCACCCCACTTTACTCCCACTGAGCTACCCTCCCCCTCTCTCTCATGTAGAACAGCAATTGAGCAGGGCATTTAAACTTGAGGTCAAGTACAGACTTCAGAGAGAGAAACTAAACTTCAGGCATACTGATGAATAGGAGTGAATTTATGTTATTAACCTATAAATCTACCTCTCGTATAGAAATCCTGTTGACAATTAAAATTGCACCAGTTCCTGTTAATCCAAAGCCTAAACAATCTTTGATTAGGAACCTATTGGGAATGATAACGACCACTATTTTCAGAAAATTGCATTTCAAATTGTAAATAATAATAGGTGGGTAATAGGAAAAAATATTATTGAAAACTCCAACTTTCTGTATACAATAGAGTATCCTAAACTCTAGGTAGGTTCTAAAACCAAGTCAGGCCTACGTCTTACATTCCTTATGAAGTATTGATAATACTGTACTACCAGCCCTACTGTAAAATAAAGGAACAATTTTGACTGTGCATGAGTTACACCCCCAAACTTGTGAAGAGAGTTAAATTTCCTTGTATGCATTATGCATACTCTTCTATGAATGGTGATAGTGATTAGTTAGCTTAATTAAATCAAATCATTCACAGGTATTTTAATTTATGGATAAAATTAAACCCCTGCCGACCTAAAAAATCTGTGTTCACCGTTTATCATCTTTCCAATTGTTCTGAAATTTCAGCATTATTTTCTAGTCACAGTAGATAACCTTTTTTTATTACTAAAACGCAAGTTCATTGGCTTTTTGTAACAGTTGTTTTAAATGATTTACAATACCGGTAGGCCTACCTAAAACTAGAGGGAAATTTCATTTTGCCTTTTACTTAATATTAATAGTAAGAATTTTTGAGAATTCTTAAAAAATAGTTAATAAATAAACTGAAAATTAGTAAAATAGATATCTGCCACATACAAGTTGCTTGGCACCCTTCATTAAAGAAAGATCTCAATAGTAAAGTTTACCTACATTTGTTGTAAGTATAACAGAGTAATGAGCACAGTCATAATGCTTGATAACAAAGACACAAGGTCTACTGTACTGTGGAGCAAAGATATAAACAAAAGAAGACAACTGTAAACAAAGGCAAGCAAGTAGAGGCGCAAACACGGAGTTAGCAACAGAGAAATTCATTACCAAGGAAAGGCTATGTTGGTAGAAAACTGTTTTTTAAAACAAAGAAAAACTATTATCTAGCCTATAAGTCTACTAACACAACATGAATTTAAGTCACGCTTCCCGTTATAGGTTAATTAATTACCGTAGTTCAAATTCCGGTCTTTCAGTAAGAATCTCAAAATTCAATTTAAAACTCCATAGGATAGGCTATACAAAGTGATGCATATGAGTTAGTTAGACTACATACATCAATATGATGGTTGTATGCCTACAGTAGTAGATGTTGTCAGTTGTTTCCGGAATAGGAAAATGTATAAAAAGCAGGAAAAATATGAAAATATGTTAACTGAAACACTGAACGTTTATCTTTTCTCTTTGAAGCAAAAGCTCCCTAGATTTTAATGATGTAGAAACATAGAGTGAGTACTTTTTTATCAGTTGATAGTTGGGAAGTTAAAAGAGATTTTTTTTAGACACTAAGACAATTAATTAGTAAAAAAAATAGGGCTTTGCTTTTTGCATTTGTATGGACTCAAAGGTAATACATTTAAAAAGGTTAATTCAAGCCCCAACACATCAAGAAATTTTATTGGAAAAGATAGTTTTTATGGTTTTATATAGAAAGGTACAGACAGATAAATACAGTATTTAGCTTAGCATTTCTTTGTTTATAATCATAACGATTTTATATAAGCCTGATTTCTATTTTGCCATTTGAGCCAGAAATCAATAGTTTAATTGGACTAGCATTTACTGGTCCTACACCTAAGATGCATAGGTAGGCATAATTGGTAAATAAAATTTCTATCAATAAAACCATTTATTACTACTATCTACCCAAATACAACTTGTTATTAATCATTTTTCAAACAAAAGTGAAATAAGTCAGTTGTGACCTCTGATGCTAGTGATCAAACAAAGACAGGGTAGAACAAAGAAAATTCCCTCAGAAAAGGACTTATCCACTATATTACTGTGTAAAACGGACCGTACTCACCTTTAGAGGGAATTAAGATCCTAAATTGCACTTGGTGAAAGATACTTTAAGTTAAAAATAGCAAAAGATTTGGCACTTGGTGGAAAATAAACTGGTTGAATTTGTTGTTGTGGTTCCTTCCACAACAGCTGTTCAACTGAAGTCTGTAGCCCGGATCAGCTGTGGCTGGCGACAGGTCGAGAGCGCATGCGTCCCCCCACCACTACTCTCCATTTCAATAATATTGACCCACAACAATCATCAGCTGTACGACCAAGCCGAAGCGAAGCCAGTTCCGTTTGGGGGAAGATAACAACAGGGATCGTGACGTCATCGGCTGTGCACTGATTATCAAGGGGGTATTGACCCTGTTCGGTAGAATATTATATTATGTTTATTGTTTACCAATGCTGTAGAATTAGAACTGCAGCTAACAAATTACCCGGCAGACAGCGAGACAGCAAAAAAGCCAGAAGAGAATACCTATCTCTGAAGTGAGAAAACCGAAAACAGTTTACATATATTTTTTGGAAATAGAATTCGTGTACAGAGTACAAAACTTCATAGGTCTAGTGATTCCACTATATCGTAGAGTGTCGACCACTCTCAGCCATTTTCATGACTGTTTTAGTCCAACTGCGTACCGAAAACAACATATTTTTTCATGAAATTATAATTTTGGATTTATTTCACCTGCAAGTAAAAAATAACATAGGCCTAACGTCCGCGTATGTTCACAAATTTGCCGGTCTACATTAATTTATCAATAGAGGCTGTTTATAGTTTGTATGATCTGAAAACAAAGGTAGTCCTAATAAAGATAGTGAATTTTAAACCCCCTTCTGTTGAATAGATAATACAAAATATTATATTTTGCCACCCCCTCGCCACCTTGTGCGGTGGAACTGACCTTTTGGCACGTCTCCGGGCTATTTCTATCCCCCACTATTTTAGCAGATGTTTGGCAGAGGTTTCAGTAGGCCGAACTCTGCCAAGTTTATATGAACATCGGTGATGCCAAACAATAACTGCTCGTGTAGTCGTGTACAGTGCAAGGGGTTCGAAATAAAACTCAATTAATTGATTTGAGAAATGCTGTATAGATCAAACATTTTGACTGTCAATGACGTTATTTTCATGAGGAATAATTTAGTTGCTGTCTTTTGCTGAGGAGACACAACCCCAATAGAGCCTGGAAATTCAAGTAGTCAAATGTGCCGCAATGTTTTTTTTACTTATCAATGTAGGCTAAATGTAAATTATGTAGAGAAAGTATCGATTTCGTCAAAAGTTTCGAGTTTGAGTTTTGGGTTGATATATCCGTTTTTGTTCCCCCTGAACCCAAAAAAGTGGATTCGAAGTGATGTCTTTCTGTGTGTCCGTGTGTCTGGATGTATACAGAACTACAAACTACACTCTATGGTCGGATTTTGATGAAATTTGGTATGTGGGTCCTCCATTGTATCATGGTATCTCCAGCCAGTTTTATTCATTTTCATAAAAAAATGTTTATGGTGACTCCCCATAAAACCCCATAAAATAACGGAAATCGAATTGTTTCAAAAATGTTCCGAACGTTTTTCATCAACAGTTTAGTAAGTTTAAATCTGTTTAAATCTTTACAAAACTGTACAACTCCCATTTCTGTAAAAATTAGGGTTCAAAAGTTACCGTAATGATATTCCCATAAAAAAAAAACATATAATAACGGAGGATTTGTGAAACAACGGCGTTTAGATTTAGACTAAGTAATAAGTAATCTCTGTAATATATTCATTTTACAGTCCTTGTAAACAGTAGTTCGAAACAGAATGGTTCAACCCCGATGGCTGTAAAAATTACGTTTCAAAAGTGCTTGCAGAATAGTGATTTCCTCCATAAAATATCATAGTTATTCCCATCGCTAACCCGTGATAAGGATTGTCGACCAGCTAATGGGAGAAAGTATGTGTCACATTGCTGATATAGTTTATTTTTTTTAGTTCTTTGCATAAGTATGAATCGACCAATCGTTGTACACAAGACTTTTTATTATAATTGAGGTCCAACACCGGAGATTGTTACCGGTATATTGTAGGATATAATGATATACAGCATAGAGAATATAACAATGTATTACAGGATGCTAGCTAAGGCCGTAACGTTAACAAGTTTGGGGTGTGGGTGTTCACTTATGGTAACCATTTGCAATGATCCAATGGCAATTGACAAAACGGTACATACGATGATAGCTGGGGCCATTAGACTTATCCGGTTTGGTTAATGAGTTCAACCAGAAAATAGTAAACCTTTGTACACTTTTGCTTGATAGGAAAAATGCCTTCAACAAAAAGCATTGCTTTTACACCACACAGTTCTAGCGCAAAGCCACGGTCGAGAAACAGTTATGAGTTGTTGACTCAGATACATCTAGAGTTGCTAGGCAACAGGCAGCAATCATGTAAACCACCGTCATGCTAGATGAGACCGCTCGAGGCTAGAAGCGACCTACTTGCGCCTGAGGAGGCTCTAGGAAACCGAGCGAAAGGTCGCCCGCATCACGTCACTAACCTGTTAGCAGGAAACCGTTTGAAGCGTGGTTTTCGAATCAGCAGAAATGGAGGTAACGTAATCTGAAATATTGGAATCATGCATACACCACGCATAGTTCGGCAGTTACAATTAAGACTTCATCCACCAAAATAGCTAAAAAATACTTCCAGCAAAGTTTAACTTTACGTCCGTTCTAGTTTAAATATCAAGTAAAAGGGATCACCTAATAATTCAAGATTTTTTTCGAGTACTTTCGATTCCTACACAAAATAGTTCCATGTGATCAGAAACACGCATATTTTAAATACGTCATAATTTAAAGCTATTTAAAATCACACTAACATAACATAACAGTTTAAGTCCTGAATAGTAATAGCTAAACTTTTCCTGACATTTTAGAACATGTAGCCTTATTTGCTTCGAACCCTGCGTAACAGTATATTTTACATTATCAGCAGTCCAAGGAAGATGTGATGAGGAAGATAGTTATGTAGAAGTGTGCAACACATTTCCTATGCAATCAAAGTTGTTTTTTTTTATTTGAAAAATTACTCGATGTGTTGAAAACCCGTAAGATGCAATTTCTTTAAACATTGCATCATAGCCCTAGATTAAGCACGGTGTACAATAAACAATCAGAACTATTAACTTTATCGAAAATTACGAGCATTCAATCAGCATAACAATAAGATAAATTATGATTTAAACCCCAAGTCAAAAGTTCTATGACCTCATCTTTAACCCCGTGTTTTCAAACAAACAACATCATAAAGAAGCATAATCGATTTGGCACGATTTGAAAAAGCGCTGTGAAATATAGGTTAGATTGTGAGATTTTTATTGTGAATATGAAAAGTGCTGCCCGATAACCTCAAAGATAGCGATGAGTCGACGATGAAATCGAGGAGGCACTTGCAGACTTTGACATAACCTCATTATTTTAGTTTATAATTAAGACGAGGTTAAGCTGGAATAAACATGTGGACTTTTCGTAATTAAAACACTCTTTAACACAATTAAAATTATGATTCATTAGGATATCGATTATGATCCAGAAATAAATTAGGCCTATAGTTTTTTTTTAAAGATTGAGCATGATGAAAAATTAAAATGTTCTTTTAAGATTTATCTGCAAAAACATTTTAAAATTGAGTTCTCTTTAAAAATAGGGACAGACTAGATTTATTAACTAATATAGTTATAATCGGAGTAAAAAGCGTAGAATAAAGAGATGTAGCTCTCTTTACATGTAGACGACAAGATTACTTTAAAAATGCTGATTTTATAAAAAAAAATGTCAAGTAGGCTAGAATATCTAGGACTGACTTATCTTTAGCATTTAAGATTACTTATCAAACAACGTAAAGTTCAAACAGATCGAACAGTAATTTCCTACAATTTTCAGTTGCAAAACAAGGCACAACTCTTCCCGGCTTGATCCTATTTGGCCTAGCATGTAGGCTACAGCTAAATATAGTTTTGCTACTTCAAAACGTATAAAAAAAGGTATACACATAGTTTTGAAGATGGAATTTTAAAATAAACTGAATACTAAATATGGTACATATCTTGCTAAGAAGGCGTTTTAGGACAATTGTTCAAATGATTAGACAGGAGGAAGAGAATCGAATTTAGCAACAAGCTCGTTTAGGATGTGAGGACGCTCGATGGATGTGTATTTAAATGTGTTTATGAAAAGATTTACCTTTTAAATATATTCTTCTTCGTATAAATCTTGAGGTGCCTTGAGGTTTCAAATTTAGAGTTAATAAAGAACAGTTGGAGAGAAAAGAGAGAAAGACTTTGTTGAATACTTTGTGAGAAAATAACACTTAAAAATTTTAAGAGAAAATTAATTGAGAACAATTGGTTTTTTTATTTCCAGCATGGACATAAAACCATAAAACACAAACCAAAACAACAATATCCAAAAAGCACATGTTAATATTCTAAAATCCAAAACATGTGTTGGAGCCAGACCAAAGGCAAACCAAAGGTCTTTACATCGTTGAGGCAAACAACTATAATATTTCTTGAGGTAGACTAAAGGCAAACATTTTAAATAAATAGTATACTTAACAATTAATAGCTATTCTTAATTGGCGTCTTATTTTAAGTATTTTAACCCATTAATACTATTGCTAATTGTTTACTACGAGGCACTCTGCATATATTTTCGTTGCTGTTTAGCTTGCTTGGTCTGAAGAATTATATGGCCCCTACCATAACTATATGGAAACAGCAACATTGAATACCTTATTTGAAAATTTATGAAAAAATTAAAGACGTTACTAAAATTACCAAACTAGTAGGAGGGGGCTAGTAGCCACTGTTGGGTTTACGGGCTGTTAACGGCATGCCAATGGCTCTATCCCGCCCCAGTCGATTCGATATCGAGCCGAGTAAAGGCGGTGACACACTATCGATCTTTCCCCCGATCAAGAGAGCAGGGAGAAGGGAGAAAGGAGATAAATATCAGCAAAATTTCCCTCCGAACATTTCCCCGAACAAGACCAAGACCAGACTAATTCTACCGAGCGCGGCAAAAGGGAGTTTAGAGAGAGATGTAGAGTGTGTGCGAGTGAGAGCGCGTTAAAAATCGCTTTTTGAAAACTTGTCGCAAAA